GAGAGCCACCGAGGACGAGGAGCAACAAGTAAAAGAGGTTAAGGGTTCCCCAAGGTGGCGGCCGTAACTCGAAGATGCTCTCCTCCCAAGCATGCAGCTGTCCTGTCATTTCGTTAAGGAATTTTTACTTTTTTTTTTGTTTTGTTTGTTGGAACAAGAACAACTCACGACCAAATGCACTTAAAGGCCACGCCACAGTACACATCACACACACCACGGAGTGGCGGCTATGCCATAATCCGGACTGAAAAACTCTTGACTTTATGATGAACGATTTACCACGCCATTGCAAATTAAAGCAAAACAGAGGAGCGGACCGATGTGTGTATGTGTAGTATATTGCCACGGGCATTGGCGGTGTTGGTCCCAAAATCGAATAAAGCACTCTGACAATCATCGGCATGGTGCTGCCACGCCCTCATGCCATTCGTTGGTACCCTAACTTTTTGGTATAGGTATTACAAGGGCATATCGAATTCTAGGGAGCTTAAATTCAAACTTTAACTTTTTCACTTTCCTTGGTAAAATACAAATGTTGACAATCATGGTACTGAGTATTCCGTAGTCTTGACTTGATCCTGGCCTACACCATTCAACTCGTTGTCTTTTTTTGGGCAGCTGCAACATCAACAAGCGAACAAGCAAAAGCTCTGCCCCAAAAACTGGCAAGGGGGCAGCAGGCAGCCAGAACAAGTGCATCATCCGGGGCGAGCAAAGCAAATTCCCCATAAAACAAATGCGCAAATAAAAATGTTTATAAACAGCGTCGACGGCGGATAGCACTTCACGATTTTTGGGATGTGCGCGACAGCGATTCATGCAGAGAATCAGGATGGGGATGGGGACAAGGACTCACTCGAGGCTATGGCTGGTGTGGATGGAGACAAGAGTTCAGGCAACAGTATGCGCTAGGTAATCCCGCAGAAGAGGTCACAAATGAAGTCAGCCAAATCTGCTGGAATTGCAGAGACACTAGACTTTGGAGATGTGAGAGGGGAAAGTTAAGTGGCAGCTCTTTGGATATTTCTTATTCACACTTACACCATAAATTGATTACTTGCATTTTAATCGTTTAACTTGGGAGATTATTAAGTTTGTTATACAATTTACTGATATTAAAGGTCTTCATTTAAAAGTAAAGGATTCATTATGAATAATTATAGGTCCCAGACGCCAAGTGGCCAAAAACTGTCTTTGATTCTCAGGAAACAGAGCAGCGCAGGGTGTCTGACCTGGCTCCTTTATATAAGGAAAAGGCGTGGCAGGACATATAAGTTACTTGAAACTCACTCATTCCTGTCTTGGCTCTCTGTATCCTGCTGCCATGACCTTGAAGTTAGACACAGAAAAAGTTTGGTCATACCTAAGTGTTTTCTACAAAACACAATGGGGTTTAAGAAGTCTTGGATGGGACAATATTAATCACTCTTTAGGCTTAAAAAATAGTTACACCAACTATATGGTATGTATATATATAAATAATTAAAATAAGTATTAAGAAAAAGTATAAGGTTACCTTTAAACATTTTTAATAGAATATTAGCTCATATAACTTGTGTAAATCGCTACAAAAGGAAGTAAAGGCATTTGTCAAGTCCACAAAGGATTCGAGTTGGTGACCAAGTCCAAGTCCTAGTCCTCTTGCTGGTTTGATTACGATCCTGACAAGTGCCTGCTGCATTGTTGTCCTTCCACTTCCCGCAGCCAATTCAATTGAATTTCACCTGCTTACCGATCAAAGGGATACTGTGCCAGATTGTCGGCATTCCTGGGGGGGGACTTCTTTGACTTTGTCTTGACTTTGCTTTTTAATAAAATTCAAATATAATGCAAACAATGTGCCACAAAGTCGTGTCACTGGGGGTCATGACCCCACGCTCCCCTTGATTTTTATAACCATTTCCATTTGCCCACATAGCTCATAGTTTTTACTCAACTGTATGCATTAATTTGATTCCTTTTGGCCGTCACTGGTCGGTCCTCCTGCGGCTCGTTTTGTATTGTAATATCCGGCCGCGCTTCCTGGCGAAAGGAGGCCTTCATTTATTATTCAGCACACTTTGGCCGGCAGTCGCCGGGCGGTTGTGTGATTTCTGCCAACTTTATGCAGCGCTTTGTTTGCATTTTCCAACTCATTAAGAGTAATTTGCTTTGCTCTCCGTTATGTATTTTCTCTGCTTCGCTTTTCTTTTTACTTTTTTCAATTTGCTTTGCGTTTTTCAGCGGCACTGGAGGTGCTCAAGTGGAAATTAAACACGCCGCCGGCCGCTAACCGCCAGCCGCAGAGGCTCGCCCACCTCTCGCACTTACCTAGTCGCACCTCAACTCGCCTCACCTCGATTGGCCTAAATATTTATGGGCGTTGGCGTTGGCTCTAAATAATGGCCAAATGCCTGCCCAGCTTGGGACTTGAGTTAATTAATCATCGCATGAAAAATCACTGTATCAGTGGTCAGCCACAGAATCGGCAAGTGGTGGTCCAGTAACTGGATGCGAAACTAAACCTGAGGCCCCCGGACACAGCCTAAGCGAGCCCATAAATAAAGGGACAACAAACACACACGGACGCACGCACGCTCCGGGGGAGAGGCAGGACGCTGAAGAGGGCTGAAAATTACGCACAAAGTTGTTGTTTCACGCACAAGCCAGTAGGACAACGACAACGACAACGACAGCGACAGCGACAGCGACGACGACAGAAATGTGGTCAAAACAGGCTAAAAAAGGAGGCAATGTGACAGGGACAACAAGGCGACTGGCGGCAGCCCACTAAGTATGCGCCTGTAAGCGATATGCCCAGGCATCAGAGAGTCGGCACAGTGGCTGGGGAGCAGCCAAAGACGGACACCATTGGATAATTTAACTAGCAATTGTCCATTGAATACCATTACATTTAAGTGTCACTCTTCATCATCATTATCATCGGGAAACAATACAGAGGCCAAATATATATAATAAAAAATGAAATATGAAATATATTCACAATTCATTCAAAATTGTTGTCAATTGTTAACATTTACATCACCGTAAATGCTCTTAAACTTTAAAGATAAATTAAGAAACAGTCTATAAAGGAATCCCTTGATTTTTCCCAGTCCTGCCTGGCGTGCAACAATTTGTGGCACTTGAAACGCCAGTTGCCCCACATTACACCCACAGTCCTGGCTCGTCGGCCATCGTCCTGCGCCTGACGCCTCCTGACGTCTGACGGAAGGAAGTCGACTGGCGTGGCCGAAAACTAATGCTAATGTATGTGTGAGCCACTGTGGATCCCTCGATAGCTGTCGCCCCCTTGGGGAAAGCTCTGCCTGTGACGCGATATCCTTGTTAAGCTGAAGCCAGCAAAACGCTGGAATAAAATAAATAATCATAAAATGGAGAAGTAAAATGACAAATTATTTCCGTTTCCGTTGGGCGAACTTCCCAGGCATAGCCACATGCAAGACCCAGAAAGAGACCGAAACTTGGCTAATATATGCAGCTGCCAGATGTGGGCCAGATGTAGGATACTGGAGCCAGGACCTACAGAAGATCCTGACAGTTTGTCCGAAACAAGTGCATAATGTACTTAATGTGACCGGTTGGCAGCCCTCTGCATATCCCTACGCAAAGTTCTTCCAACTGGTTTCTATGCCCAGGATCGTATATCAAACATTGTTGTTCGCCCATTGCCAGGTCAGTGCTCGTATTGCTTTAATTAAATATTTACACGCGTTCAGGCCAGTTCATAATGAATAATTATTTTATTACCCAAAGGGTGGGTGCCAAAGCTAATGGAAAAAAATGTCAACAAGTCGCCCCAAGGATACTCTGCTGGCGAAGTGAGCTGAAGGAAGTCCGGGTAAAGAGTAAATTCTGCCCACTCACTTTCACTCACCCGCTCTCGAACGAGTCCTTTGATTGACACGCTGAGCGAACCCTTCCACCAACTGCCCGCCACAAAGGGCAGGCCCTGAGCTACAAAATTATGACCGCAATTTGGGAAATGAAATGCATAAAGCAAAATAAGCAAATGGCACGCAAAATGACCCGGGGCGGCGTCAAAGCGCTCTAATTGGCTTGGGTGGCGTTGGTGGTGGCCCAAAGAGGTTTTTCTAGGCTTGGGCGCCATAGAGGGCTCCCTAGTCGAGTGCCACACACAAGGTATTGATTCCTGGGAAGCCCCTTTTGCCCTTGTCCTTGTCCGGATCAGAGAACTAACCCTCTCTGCTGCTCTTAATGTCCAACCACATTTGTGGTTTGCCTTTCTCATAGCCAAGTGTTCTTCAATATTTTCCAAAAGTCTGTTTTTCACAAGGTCCTCTGTATGGGAAATTAACGAAAAATAACCCGTACGCCCCTCACCTGTTATTCATGCTGGAATTTTGGGATATTTATGCAATTTCATTAAGCCCTTGGATGCTGTAAGTTCGGCCAAGGTTGCCATCAGAGTCCTTGAAACCAGCCTCCCAGTATCGATGGAGCAGAAATCAGAAATCTGAAATGTCTGCTTCGGACACATTTGGGATTTTAAACAGTTTCCACTCGCATAAATGTTCAGCAATGTGCACTTGAGTTATTTGCCGTGTTAAAAGTCACTGGGGGTGTACTGGGCGGGTTCAAGGATCAAGCTTTTGGGTTGGATGGAGGGTAACCCCCCGTAGGCCCCCGGGGCCTTCCCATTGAACTTGCGGCGGACCTACCAACACCACCACCAGCAGTGTGGATAACCTCGTTTCGTATTTATCAACGACTCATCATTGTGAAGGGCGCCTGTCAGCGGGCCGCGCCCCGTGTCGATGGTGTATTAAGCCGCCGCCCTCCCCTGGGGGAACTTGGACCGAGGCCGCTCCCGGCGGGCACCGGCACGGGCACGGCTTCCGAGCGCCACTGCCGCCACCGCAGACGGAAACTCAAAAATGGCGTGCCGAGCAAAAATTAGGCAAATAAACTTGTCAACACATTCAACTTCATTATCGGGCCGCAGCCGCTCCCCGTTGGCCGCCGCCCAAAAAACTTACCCGTCTGCAACCTCTTGTGGTTATACTTTTTCCGCCACGACCTCGGGGCTGCGTCCTTGTGCGGCCTGAAAGCAGAGAGAGGAGAGAGAGAGAGAGCAGATGAAATTATGACCTGGCTCAAGCGGCGAGATCCCAAAAAGTGGCAGTCGTCCCCCCAGAATATTCATATGTGCGCATGCTTTGGGGCTTAATTTAGAGTGGCCAAGGGTTCAGCTGGTTCAGCTGTGGCCAGAAAGGATTCGCTATCTCGCGCCAGCTTAGCCGTGGGCATAGCACTGAAAGAATTTTGCCCAACAAGCTATTCGTATGCTGCCAGGACTCTCGAGAAAAATTTCAGATAAATCATAAAGTTTTATAGATTTACAAGCAGTTCGACATACAAAGACCAACTTAATCAGGCGAAGCAACAGTGGGCATCAATTTTACAGCCCCCCCCCCCCCAAGCGGGGATCCAAACAATTTGCGCAAATATTTTTGTTTGCATATCGAACCCTTCTCTCCACCGACAACGCCATCGCCATCGCCATCGAAAGCTGGGCACAATGAGCTGGGCGAGCAAACAAATTTATGGCCATCATAACGAGAAGGAGAAGCGGCAGAGTCCGGCTCGATAAAATGTCTATAGTGCTACATAATAATCATAATAATAAATAGCAATAAAACTGCTACAAAGGAAATTAAATTTCGGTATCCGCAAGGAATTTCGAAAGAAAAAAAGTGCACACAGGAACAGGAAGCCACCCCGTTTTGCGGCCCCTAAATTTCCCCATAAGCTGTTTAACTGAGTTATTAAAAAGGGCAGGGAGGCCTGCGGGTCAGTCCTTGGCCAGGCCAGCGGCGTTCAACGTTCCGCATCCGCATCCTGCGGACACGACACGGGACTCTGCGGAGCAGGATGGCTATATTAACGTTAATTAATGTTAAGTGCCTAGGCGTTTTACAAAATCATTTAAAATTTTCAGCGCCACCAAAGAGTAAGAAGGAGCAGAGCTAGGGGCTTACTTTTTTCTGGAAATTGTTCTTTAATAAACAAATAAATATAAATGAATAGGAAATCGAAACAGTCATGAACGGAGGCTTTCCTAGAAAGTCCTTCACTTCCAGAACAGACCTTAAAGGTAGAGATATCTTCTGTTAGATCAACTGATAGTTCCAATCTCTCGTAACTTGAATATATATTCCCCAACCAAGCTTAGCTAAACAAAGCTTTACTTTAAATGTAATAATTATTTCCAGTTAAAAAGTAGCCATCTTCCCTCTGGAAAAGGTCAACTGGGGCCTCTTCCGCTTGACCTTACCTCAGGAGCCTGTCAAAACGAACCTTTATGGTTCTCTGGCACCTTTAAGGATCTGACAATGCCCCTGTATATAATGTATAGTATAAAGCGCTTTTGTTCCGCTTGGTGGGCTTGTGGGCGGCGGGGCGTTGCCCTCAAAACTGGGGCGTGGCCATATATGACGTGTGACAAATTTTTGCGGTTGGCAAAGCCAACAAGGGTCCAGCAGAGGTGGTCCGGAGGTGGCAGCAAATGTGTTGCACGTCTCCTTGTCTATGGTTGGAAAATTGTCCAACATATCCGGGAGCGTTGAGGTTGGCTGCCCATTGTGAGCAGGGCGGAGGGCGTGGACATGGGCGAATGAGGCTTTGTCCAGAGAGCGTTTCACATTTCGAGCTGCCCATTTTACTTGCAGTTAAATAGGGCGGAAAAATAATTGAACCATTATCAGGCAGTCAGCCGCCGGGTGAGAGGGTGACGAGGGTGGGTGTACGGGTGTGAGGATGCCAGTACGGGTAGGACACTTAATTCGTATGTATGTATATGTCCGTGTAGCGACCCTCGCTTCCCGTCCAGAATATTCCTATCCTTCTGCTATGCCGCCCTGTGAATAAATTTCGAGCTTGTTTCGCCTTTGGTTTATTGTGCTTATTACAAAATATTTAACGCCACACACACACACACACACAGAGGGCAAGTGCGAGGCGGGGCCACGCCCACGCTGTCACTGGCTCCTTGCACGTCCTTCGCTGGCGGCCAGAAATTGTTGCCTCATTGTAAAAATTTATGTTAATATTTTAAATTTGTACGCTGGCAGGCAGCCGAACGACGAACGGCGAACGGCGAACGGCGAACCGAACTGAACTGTGGGCAGTAACAATATGCCGCTGCGGTTGGGCGCCACTCTGCACCCACTCTGGGACACCCCACCCTGCAGTTGTTTGTTGCCCTGGTTGGCCCGAGACTTCCCCCTCGCCGCTTGTAAAATTTAATGTAATTTCTACGCTGCCGGCTCTAGGCCACGGACGTTGGCCAGGACACCATGGCAGTACGGCAGTACGGCAGTATGGCAGGACATGCCCGTACTGTTGGCCGTACTGTTAATAATGCCAACTTCTGCAGGGCGACGCGTCGCTTAAAGTGCGGCCATATTTTTAAAGAGGCCACAAACTGCAATGACAGTTCACGTTGCCGTTGCTACGGCTGTTGCTGTTACGGCTGCCGGACACGCATGTGTAGTGGACAACGCACACACGGTTTTATAAATATTTCAAGCTCATATTTTATGGGCATTTTTCATAGGAAAAGCTGACGCCGGAGAGCAGCTTGAACGGACAGAAGAGAGAGAGAGGCATTCGGCATCATTAATTAATCTCAAAAAAAAAAAAAAAAGCGTTGATCCTGATGGAGCGCACGAGTCATAAGACCAGATTGTGGCACCAGGAGAACTAAGAGGATATTTTATAAATATAAATAAAGCCAGCAATGAAGAGTCTCCTATCATTCTTGATATTAAATATGTATATATAAAAAGTTGCCTCACAATTTTTCTTTCTGTGTACTAAAGATTGTATGCAGCAGCATTGTATTTTAAGGACACGTCTACGCTCTGCCACGCCCACATCAGCCTGCCGTCATTTTGCGGCATGTTGCTGCGTTGAGCCTCATTAAGCTCACTTTGTCCTGGCGAACCCTCTGCCCCTGTCGCCTTCCCTGTGTCCATTTAAACAGAAAACCCACCAGGACACCCCCCCATATACAGCCACAACACCCGCTGAATCCTTCGCTGATTCATTCCTTCTCGTTTGCCATAAATTATTTTAAAATGCATACTTATGTGGAATTTTGCCACGCGCTGCCGCGACAACTTTCCATAATTTTTATTTACATGATGCGGCGGCGGCGGCAGCGGCTCGGAGCTGTTGGCTTCCTGACGAGGGGTGGTGTGTAACCGCATTAAAATGATTTGCAACGCGCGGTGTCGGAGATGTCTGAGGCCCAGAGCCTTTGCAAATAAAAAAAAATAAAGCGGACATTGCTGCCAAAGTGGCCAAAGGAATGGCTCTGCTGCACCACTTGCCACATGCATCACTCGCCATGTTGCCTGCTCCGGTTCGTGCTCTGCCTTTTGCTCCTGCTTCCCTGAAGCTGAGATGTCAGTCGGAGGTCAGGCGATCAGGCAGGTTGTGGGTATAAGAGCCTTTAAAGGACACCGAGCAGGACTAAGTTGAATGTCTTCTATAAGTTGTGTTATTTAGTAAAATATTTACTAAGAAGTTCAAGGAAAGAAATAGATTTAAAGTGTCTAAACGATTCTGGAAGGATCTTCTAGGGTTTCCTCTGGTACCATTCCAGCAAAGATCATCGATTATAAAGCTGGCTTCAGACTCTCTCTTAATATTCCATTACAACTTCAGAGAGATGTATTGCTCTCCTTTAAAACTTAAAATGTATAGCGTTACGCATCTTATTGTAAGTTTATCTTTGATTCCAAGTATATTCTGACATTCCTGCATTGACCGCAGTACCCTTCAGACTGAGTCAAAAAAATGAAGTACAGTGCTTCGATTAAGCGAACAAAGTGAAAACTGTCCTAGGGGCTGATCCAGTTTCCTCATAGCTTCAGGCTCACTTGGACAAAAGTGTTTCGAAAACAAAAAGAGTGAAGCTGGAAAAATATTCACACAATCTGCGACACCGAACTTTTGTGAGTGAGTTTGTGTTTTGGCTGGAATTTTGCCGAAGTAAATGTTGTGCATATGGACTGCAGCTTAGTAGCTGCAGTCCCCTCGTGCAGCTGGAGTGGAGTGTATTCGAAATAATCCTCTTTTGTACCCACACATCACTTCCCTTCTGTTCCCTTCCTCTGGGCTGCTAGTCAATCTAATTATTATCAACTCTGTGGCTCCACATTCCAGATTCCAGATTCCCTGACCATATGGTGCTCCTTCAGGGCTATAAATACACCATTGAACATATGTTTTGGCTTAAAAACCGGTTTTCCTTAAGCCTTGTTGGACCAGCATGTGTAATTGCAGGGACTCTCTGCCATGGAATTACCTTAATTTTATTAAATATTTATTTTTAGCCCAGCCAGCAGCCTTTCCCCCCTGACTTTACCGCTGACAAAAGTGGAAATGATGAACTGATAAAATATTCAGATTTGATGACAGGCCCCCGCCCTCAGACTCGACCACTCAATCAACGATATCGATCGATTTGCAATCTCAGTCCGAGAGGAAATTGTTGTGAAGTTTATTTATTTATTTTATGAAAACTGTTACATTCCATTCTCTCTCTCTATCTTTGCATATTTTTTGTGCCGCTTTCAAGTTGAGTTGAGTATATATATTCTGCACACAGGCCACTAAGAATATAGCAAGCACTGAGGCTCATAACTCGAGCATTTAATTACTTAAGTAATCCGTCGTTGGAGATGGATTTTTGAGTATGTGGCTACAGCAGATGGAATACAAATCGAAGAGAGAAAAGGCTTGTAGAGCCATCAGGCTTGGGATTTACTCTAGAATATCCTTGAAACCAAGTTGCTTTAACTTTCTATATCAAAAATCAATAATATCCAAATGAAGGAAGAAAGGGGTCAACAAGACAGTGAATAAAGGGGAAAACCCCATTTATGAAAGCTGGAGAAACTACCTCCTGTCGCATCCTGTAACCCGAACCCCCTTTGGAGACTGGGAACCTTTTGTGGTTTCGATTTCAGTTTAAATTTTCCGCCTAAAATCCCAGATGGAGGTCCAGAGCAGGTCCAGATTTGTGCCTGTCACAACGGCTCAATGCCGCTGCAGATGTCAAGGCTGAATTGAGTAGGCGTAGGCCGGTTCTAAGTGGGTGGTGGTTGGACCTCACTTAGTTCTCGACTTTTACTTTGGCTTTGCCTTTTCCTTTGACATTTTAGCCGACCACCAAAGCGTCAAGTTGAGCAACAGCGCACAGCAAGCGGCGTTTAATGTTAACGCTTTGTTGCTGATGCTGCCGCTCGCGACCTCCCCAAGTCTCTGTACCTCTCTTCCTCTCCCTCTCCCCCTCCTGCTCTTTCTCTCCTTTTCTCTAAGAACTCTCTCCCTTTCTCCGGGCAGTTCACATAATTTAAATTCCATGCCTGTTTCACGCTGGTCTCTAACCAAGCTGCTTGGCCATGCGACGCACATACAAAATGCGAAATGCGCCATAAACGAAAATGGCTGGGCCCCTTGACTGTGTTTTTGTTATTTTTATTTGTTTTTTTTTTATATATTTTGGCCATGGGTGTGCGTGTTGAAAGCGAGAAGGGGCTCTGTAACTGGAACTGGAACTTCAATTCAATCAATTACGCCTTATGCACTTCAAAAGTAGGTATTTCATTAAACAAAACATTGTCGCGAGGTAGCAGCTAACAAGAATAGAGTTAAACTTGGCCAAAACTACCTTAAGGGAATAAAGGAGGAATTTATAAGGAATATATGAGGAATATATAAGGAATATATGAGAAATATATGAGGAGAGAACATGTTTTTCTTGTTTAATTATTTCTAAGAAACTACGATCAATATTTCCCGAATATATCTCAATTCTAAACAATTCTCAATTCTAAACTATATCTCAATTCTACAAGCGACTAACAGGTATGCCCTCTCTGGTTTGATTTGGTTTCTACAAGATATAATAGTCTGTCTAAAGTCCTGATGCTCTCTAATTACTATTGAATTCATGCCAATATATATATTTTTGCAAGTGTTATAAGTGAACAAACAAAACTTTACCAATTAGTTAAAGCCTTTAAATAATAACTTCTATATATATGACATTATATATCATCTTATAATACCAAATGTATAAATTACATTTATATACCCAAAAAAAATATATATAATATTTTCTTCAAGTGCAGACAAGTGCCAGATGAGCGCCAGGTAAAAAGAGGGCCCCTGGCAATGGCCTGGGGGGCACACCTTTGACTGCTCGGAGCTCTGGTGTGCGTGAGATCTTTTTGTTTGCCGGCTCGGATGTCAGCTGTGGATGTGGGATGGGCTCTGGCTATGGGTGGGTGGCAGCTGCCTAACCCTTGTAAGCCCGTGACCTTTTGACTACCCCACCACACCACACCACACCACACCGCAACGTAACGCACCGAATGTTCGCCCATTGTTTGCGTGCGTTGACGAGCGAAAGGAAAATCCATTGAAATTCAATTTAAGGAATGTTGACAAACGTTTGTCATGAGACAGCGACACCAGCACCGAGGATGCCAGTGTCGATGCCGACGACAAGCTTAAAGAGTTTTTCAGCCAGGTGCTGATTTCCCGGTACTGCCATGTCATGGGAAAACTCTCGGCTTAACCTTTAAAATCGCTTAATCTGACGCGAAAAGCCTGCCCGGGGATTTATTAAAGATTCCTGTGTCACTGGAGATGGTGGTTAAATATATATGCTATATAAATACACGATGTGTTTCCTGGCTGTCCTCCTTTGCTATTAGAAGCAACATCGACTTGCACTCCATACGTACTCCCATATATGTTTATATATATTTATATATATCACCTAATTACAGCAAGCACTTGGCTGGGTCGATGGAAAATTGAAGCTCTTAAACTACTTCAAACAGTGAATGAGATGGACACCCTCTAGTCGGGGCAAGGAATGTCTGGCTGGTGGCGATGATGGAGCACTCAAGGTCCTTGGGTGGGTGGTGTGTGCTGACAGCGTTTGAGCCAAAGGACTCAGCTCTCGACTCAAAGAAGTTGGCTTCTTTTCTTTGCCTTTCTCCTTTGCTGTCCGCACAATGGAGGCAGGACATGTGTCCTGGTTATGCCAGCGAGATCTCAAATTAACACTTGAAACGCAATGAGGCGAGCAGGGGGCATGAGGACCTGAGATCCCAAGAAGATTGGGCGCCCGAGTGGGTTTCCGTTTCCTTGGTTGAGGATGAGGCTGAAGCTGAGGCTGAGGCTTGTTACGAGCGAATAGAGCGTATGACTTAACAAGTGTTCCAGGCTCCAGGCTTCAGGCTTGCGCTCGTATAACTGCGGAATGTCCTTTACGAGTTGTCATCGGCCGAAAACATTCCCGGGATTGGCTTTGTTAGTGCGGTTCCTTTTTAAAGTATTTTTTATGCAATTTCATTAAGCCCTTGGATGCTGTAAGTTCGGCCAAGGTTGCCATCAGAGTCCTTGAAACCAGCCTCCCAGTATCGATGGAGCAGAAATCAGAAATCTGAAATGTCTGCTTCGGACACATTTGGGATTTTAAACAGTTTCCACTCGCATAAATGTTCAGCAATGTGCACTTGAGTTATTTGCCGTGTTAAAAGTCACTGGGGGTGTACTGGGCGGGTTCAAGGATCAAGCTTTTGGGTTGGATGGAGGGTAACCCCCCGTAGGCCCCCGGGGCCTTCCCATTGAACTTGCGGCGGACCTACCAACACCACCACCAGCAGTGTGGATAACCTCGTTTCGTATTTATCAACGACTCATCATTGTGAAGGGCGCCTGTCAGCGGGCCGCGCCCCGTGTCGATGGTGTATTAAGCCGCCGCCCTCCCCTGGGGGAACTTGGACCGAGGCCGCTCCCGGCGGGCACCGGCACGGGCACGGCTTCCGAGCGCCACTGCCGCCACCGCAGACGGAAACTCAAAAATGGCGTGCCGAGCAAAAATTAGGCAAATAAACTTGTCAACACATTCAACTTCATTATCGGGCCGCAGCCGCTCCCCGTTGGCCGCCGCCCAAAAAACTTACCCGTCTGCAACCTCTTGTGGTTATACTTTTTCCGCCACGACCTCGGGGCTGCGTCCTTGTGCGGCCTGAAAGCAGAGAGAGGAGAGAGAGAGAGAGCAGATGAAATTATGACCTGGCTCAAGCGGCGAGATCCCAAAAAGTGGCAGTCGTCCCCCAGAATATTCATATGTGCGCATGCTTTGGGGCTTAATTTAGAGTGGCCAAGGGTTCAGCTGGTTCAGCTGTGGCCAGAAAGGATTCGCTATCTCGCGCCAGCTTAGCCGTGGGCATAGCACTGAAAGAATTTTGCCCAACAAGCTATTCGTATGCTGCCAGGACTCTCGAGAAAAATTTCAGATAAATCATAAAGTTTTATAGATTTACAAGCAGTTCGACATACAAAGACCAACTTAATCAGGCGAAGCAACAGTGGGCATCAATTTTACAGCCCCCCCCAAGCGGGGATCCAAACAATTTGCGCAAATATTTTTGTTTGCATATCGAACCCTTCTCTCCACCGACAACGCCATCGCCATCGCCATCGAAAGCTGGGCACAATGAGCTGGGCGAGCAAACAAATTTATGGCCATCATAACGAGAAGGAGAAGCGGCAGAGTCCGGCTCGATAAAATGTCTATAGTGCTACATAATAATCATAATAATAAATAGCAATAAAACTGCTACAAAGGAAATTAAATTTCGGTATCCGCAAGGAATTTCGAAAGAAAAAAAGTGCACACAGGAACAGGAAGCCACCCCGTTTTGCGGCCCCTAAATTTCCCCATAAGCTGTTTAACTGAGTTATTAAAAAGGGCAGGGAGGCCTGCGGGTCAGTCCTTGGCCAGGCCAGCGGCGTTCAACGTTCCGCATCCGCATCCTGCGGACACGACACGGGACTCTGCGGAGCAGGATGGCTATATTAACGTTAATTAATGTTAAGTGCCTAGGCGTTTTACAAAATCATTTAAAATTTTCAGCGCCACCAAAGAGTAAGAAGGAGCAGAGCTAGGGGCTTACTTTTTCTGGAAATTGTTCTTTAATAAACAAATAAATATAAATGAATAGGAAATCGAAACAGTCATGAACGGAGGCTTTCCTAGAAAGTCCTTCACTTCCAGAACAGACCTTAAAGGTAGAGATATCTTCTGTTAGATCAACTGATAGTTCCAATCTCTCGTAACTTGAATATATATTCCCCAACCAAGCTTAGCTAAACAAAGCTTTACTTTAAATGTAATAATTATTTCCAGTTAAAAAGTAGCCATCTTCCCTCTGGAAAAGGTCAACTGGGGCCTCTTCCGCTTGACCTTACCTCAGGAGCCTGTCAAAACGAACCTTTATGGTTCTCTGGCACCTTTAAGGATCTGACAATGCCCCTGTATATAATGTATAGTATAAAGCGCTTTTGTTCCGCTTGGTGGGCTTGTGGGCGGCGGGGCGTTGCCCTCAAAACTGGGGCGTGGCCATATATGACGTGTGACAAATTTTTGCGGTTGGCAAAGCCAACAAGGGTCCAGCAGAGGTGGTCCGGAGGTGGCAGCAAATGTGTTGCACGTCTCCTTGTCTATGGTTGGAAAATTGTCCAACATATCCGGGAGCGTTGAGGTTGGCTGCCCATTGTGAGCAGGGCGGAGGGCGTGGACATGGGCGAATGAGGCTTTGTCCAGAGAGCGTTTCACATTTCGAGCTGCCCATTTTACTTGCAGTTAAATAGGGCGGAAAAATAATTGAACCATTATCAGGCAGTCAGCCGCCGGGTGAGAGGGTGACGAGGGTGGGTGTACGGGTGTGAGGATGCCAGTACGGGTAGGACACTTAATTCGTATGTATGTATATGTCCGTGTAGCGACCCTCGCTTCCCGTCCAGAATATTCCTATCCTTCTGCTATGCCGCCCTGTGAATAAATTTCGAGCTTGTTTCGCCTTTGGTTTATTGTGCTTATTACAAAATATTTAACGCCACACACACACACACACACAGAGGGCAAGTGCGAGGCGGGGCCACGCCCACGCTGTCACTGGCTCCTTGCACGTCCTTCGCTGGCGGCCAGAAATTGTTGCCTCATTGTAAAAATTTATGTTAATATTTTAAATTTGTACGCTGGCAGGCAGCCGAACGACGAACGGCGAACGGCGAACGGCGAACCGAACTGAACTGTGGGCAGTAACAATATGCCGCTGCGGTTGGGCGCCACTCTGCACCCACTCTGGGACACCCCACCCTGCAGTTGTTTGTTGCCCTGGTTGGCCCGAGACTTCCCCCCTCGCCGCTTGTAAAATTTAATGTAATTTCTACGCTGCCGGCTCTAGGCCACGGACGTTGGCCAGGACACCATGGCAGTACGGCAGTACGGCAGTATGGCAGGACATGCCCGTACTGTTGGCCGTACTGTTAATAATGCCAACTTCTGCAGGGCGACGCGTCGCTTAAAGTGCGGCCATATTTTTAAAGAGGCCACAAACTGCAATGACAGTTCACGTTGCCGTTGCTACGGCTGTTGCTGTTACGGCTGCCGGACACGCATGTGTAGTGGACAACGCACACACGGTTTTATAAATATTTCAAGCTCATATTTTATGGGCATTTTTCATAGGAAAAGCTGACGCCGGAGAGCAGCTTGAACGGACAGAAGAGAGAGAGAGGCATTCGGCATCATTAATTAATCTCAAAAAAAAAAAAAAAAAGCGTTGATCCTGATGGAGCGCACGAGTCATAAGACCAGATTGTGGCACCAGGAGAACTAAGAGGATATTTTATAAATATAAATAAAGCCAGCAATGAAGAGTCTCCTATCATTCTTGATATTAAATATGTATATATAAAAAGTTGCCTCACAATTTTTCTTTCTGTGTACTAAAGATTGTATGCAGCAGCATTGTATTTTAAGGACACGTCTACGCTCTGCCACGCCCACATCAGCCTGCCGTCATTTTGCGGCATGTTGCTGCGTTGAGCCTCATTAAGCTCACTTTGTCCTGGCGAACCCTCTGCCCCTGTCGCCTTCCCTGTGTCCATTTAAACAGAAAACCCACCAGGACACCCCCCATATACAGCCACAACACCCGCTGAATCCTTCGCTGATTCATTCCTTCTCGTTTGCCATAAATTATTTTAAAATGCATACTTATGTGGAATTTTGCCACGCGCTGCCGCGACAACTTTCCATAATTTTTATTTACATGATGCGGCGGCGGCGGCAGCGGCTCGGAGCTGTTGGCTTCCTGACGAGGGGTGGTGTGTAACCGCATTAAAATGATTTGCAACGCGCGGTGTCGGAGATGTCTGAGGCCCAGAGCCTTTGCAAATAAAAAAAAAATAAAGCGGACATTGCTGCCAAAGTGGCCAAAGGAATGGCTCTGCTGCACCACTTGCCACATGCATCACTCGCCATGTTGCCTGCTCCGGTTCGTGCTCTGCCTTTTGCTCCTGCTTCCCTGAAGCTGAGATGTCAGTCGGAGGTCAGGCGATCAGGCAGGTTGTGGGTATAAGAGCCTTTAAAGGACACCGAGCAGGACTAAGTTGAATGTCTTCTATAAGTTGTGTTATTTAGTAAAATATTTACTAAGAAGTTCAAGGAAAGAAATAGATTTAAAGTGTCTAAACGATTCTGGAAGGATCTTCTAGGGTTTCCTCTGGTACCATTCCAGCAAAGATCATCGATTATAAAGCTGGCTTCAGACTCTCTCTTAATATTCCATTACAACTTCAGAGAGATGTATTGCTCTCCTTTAAAACTTAAAATGTATAGCGTTACGCATCTTATTGTAAGTTTATCTTTGATTCCAAGTATATTCTGACATTCCTGCATTGACCGCAGTACCCTTCAGACTGAGTCAAAAAAATGAAGTACAGTGCTTCGATTAAGCGAACAAAGTGAAAACTGTCCTAGGGGCTGATCCAGTTTCCTCATAGCTTCAGGCTCACTTGGACAAAAGTGTTTCGAAAACAAAAAGAGTGAAGCTGGAAAAATATTCACACAATCTGCGACACCGAACTTTTGTGAGTGAGTTTGTGTTTTGGCTGGAATTTTGCCGAAGTAAATGTTGTGCATATGGACTGCAGCTTAGTAGCTGCAGTCCCCTCGTGCAGCTGGAGTGGAGTGTATTCGAAATAATCCTCTTTTGTACCCACACATCACTTCCCTTCTGTTCCCTTCCTCTGGGCTGCTAGTCAATCTAATTATTATCAACTCTGTGGCTCCACATTCCAGATTCCAGATTCCCTGACCATATGGTGCTCCTTCAGGGCTATAAATACACCATTGAACATATGTTTTGGCTTAAAAACCGGTTTTCCTTAAGCCTTGTTGGACCAGCATGTGTAATTGCAGGGACTCTCTGCCATGGAATTACCTTAATTTTATTAAATATTTATTTTTAGCCCAGCCAGCAGCCTTTCCCCCTGACTTTACCGCTGACAAAAGTGGAAATGATGAACTGATAAAATATTCAGATTTGATGACAGGCCCCCGCCCTCAGACTCGACCACTCAATCAACGATATCGATCGATTTGCAATCTCAGTCCGAGAGGAAATTGTTGTGAAGTTTATTTATTTATTTTATGAAAACTGTTACATTCCATTCTCTCTCTCTATCTTTGCATATTTTTTGTGCCGCTTTCAAGTTGAGTTGAGTATATATATTCTGCACACAGGCCACTAAGAATATAGCAAGCACTGAGGCTCATAACTCGAGCATTTAATTACTTAAGTAATCCGTCGTTGGAGATGGATTTTTGAGTATGTGGCTACAGCAGATGGAATACAAATCGAAGAGAGAAAAGGCTTGTAGAGCCATCAGGCTTGGGATTTACTCTAGAATATCCTTGAAACCAAGTTGCTTTAACTTTCTATATCAAAAATCAATAATATCCAAATGAAGGAAGAAAGGGGTCAACAAGACAGTGAATAAAGGGGAAAACCCCATTTATGAAAGCTGGAGAAACTACCTCCTGTCGCATCCTGTAACCCGAACCCCCTTTGGAGACTGGGAACCTTTTGTGGTTTCGATTTCAGTTTAAATTTTCCGCCTAAAATCCCAGATGGAGGTCCAGAGCAGGTCCAGATTTGTGCCTGTCACAACGGCTCAATGCCGCTGCAGATGTCAAGGCTGAATTGAGTAGGCGTAGGCCGGTTCTAAGTGGGTGGTGGTTGGACCTCACTTAGTTCTCGACTTTTACTTTGGCTTTGCCTTTTCCTTTGACATTTTAGCCGACCACCAAAGCGTCAAGTTGAGCAACAGCGCACAGCAAGCGGCGTTTAATGTTAACGCTTTGTTGCTGATGCTGCCGCTCGCGACCTCCCCAAGTCTCTGTACCTCTCTTCCTCTCCCTCTCCCCCCTCCTGCTCTTTCTCTCCTTTTCTCTAAGAACTCTCTCCCTTTCTCCGGGCAGTTCACATAATTTAAATTCCATGCCTGTTTCACGCTGGTCTCTAACCAAGCTGCTTGGCCATGCGACGCACATACAAAATGCGAAATGCGCCATAAACGAAAATGGCTGGGCCCCTTGACTGTGTTTTTGTTATTTTTATTTGTTTTTTTTTATATATTTTGGCCATGGGTGTGCGTGTTGAAAGCGAGAAGGGGCTCTGTAACTGGAACTGGAACTTCAATTCAATCAATTACGCCTTATGCACTTCAAAAGTAGGTATTTCATTAAACAAAACATTGTCGCGAGGTAGCAGCTAACAAGAATAGAGTTAAACTTGGCCAAAACTACCTTAAGGGAATAAAGGAGGAATTTATAAGGAATATATGAGGAATATATAAGGAATATATGAGAAATATATGAGGAGAGAACATGTTTTTCTTGTTTAATTATTTCTAAGAAACTACGATCAATATTTCCCGAATATATCTCAATTCTAAACAATTCTCAATTCTAAACTATATCTCAATTCTACAAGCGACTAACAGGTATGCCCTCTCTGGTTTGATTTGGTTTCTACAAGATATAATAGTCTGTCTAAAGTCCTGATGCTCTCTAATTACTATTGAATTCATGCCAATATATATATTTTTGCAAGTGTTATAAGTGAACAAACAAAACTTTACCAATTAGTTAAAGCCTTTAAATAATAACTTCTATATATATGACATTATATATCATCTTATAATACCAAATGTATAAATTACATTTATATACCCAAAAAAAATATATATAATATTTTCTTCAAGTGCAGACAAGTGCCAGATGAGCGCCAGGTAAAAAGAGGGCCCCTGGCAATGGCCTGGGGGGGCACACCTTTGACTGCTCGGAGCTCTGGTGTGCGTGAGATCTTTTTGTTTGCCGGCTCGGATGTCAGCTGTGGATGTGGGATGGGCTCTGGCTATGGGTGGGTGGCAGCTGCCTAACCCTTGTAAGCCCGTGACCTTTTGACTACCCCACCACACCACACCACACCACACCGCAACGTAACGCACCGAATGTTCGCCCATTGTTTGCGTGCGTTGACGAGCGAAAGGAAAATCCATTGAAATTCAATTTAAGGAATGTTGACAAACGTTTGTCATGAGACAGCGACACCAGCACCGAGGATGCCAGTGTCGATGCCGACGACAAGCTTAAAGAGTTTTTCAGCCAGGTGCTGATTTCCCGGTACTGCCATGTCATGGGAAAACTCTCGGCTTAACCTTTAAAATCGCTTAATCTGACGCGAAAAGCCTGCCCGGGGATTTATTAAAGATTCCTGTGTCACTGGAGATGGTGGTTAAATATATATGCTATATAAATACACGATGTGTTTCCTGGCTGTCCTCCTTTGCTATTAGAAGCAACATCGACTTGCACTCCATACGTACTCCCATATATGTTTATATATATTTATATATATCACCTAATTACAGCAAGCACTTGGCTGGGTCGATGGAAAATTGAAGCTCTTAAACTACTTCAAACAGTGAATGAGATGGACACCCTCTAGTCGGGGCAAGGAATGTCTGGCTGGTGGCGATGATGGAGCACTCAAGGTCCTTGGGTGGGTGGTGTGTGCTGACAGCGTTTGAGCCAAAGGACTCAGCTCTCGACTCAAAGAAGTTGGCTTCTTTTCTTTGCCTTTCTCCTTTGCTGTCCGCACAATGGAGGCAGGACATGTGTCCTGGTTATGCCAGCGAGATCTCAAATTAACACTTGAAACGCAATGAGGCGAGCAGGGGGCATGAGGACCTGAGATCCCAAGAAGATTGGGCGCCCGAGTGGGTTTCCGTTTCCTTGGTTGAGGATGAGGCTGAAGCTGAGGCTGAGGCTTGTTACGAGCGAATAGAGCGTATGACTTAACAAGTGTTCCAGGCTCCAGGCTTCAGGCTTGCGCTCGTATAACTGCGGAATGTCCTTTACGAGTTGTCATCGGCCGAAAACATTCCCGGGATTGGCTTTGTTAGTGCGGTTCCTTTTTAAAGTATTTTTTATGCAATTTCATTAAGCCCTTGGATGCTGTAAGTTCGGCCAAGGTTGCCATCAGAGTCCTTGAAACCAGCCTCCCAGTATCGATGGAGCAGAAATCAGAAATCTGAAATGTCTGCTTCGGACACATTTGGGATTTTAAACAGTTTCCACTCGCATAAATGTTCAGCAATGTGCACTTGAGTTATTTGCCGTGTTAAAAGTCACTGGGGGTGTACTGGGCGGGTTCAAGGATCAAGCTTTTGGGTTGGATGGAGGGTAACCCCCCCGTAGGCCCCCGGGGCCTTCCCATTGAACTTGCGGCGGACCTACCAACACCACCACCAGCAGTGTGGATAACCTCGTTTCGTATTTATCAACGACTCATCATTGTGAAGGGCGCCTGTCAGCGGGCCGCGCCCCGTGTCGATGGTGTATTAAGCCGCCGCCCTCCCCTGGGGGAACTTGGACCGAGGCCGCTCCCGGCGGGCACCGGCACGGGCACGGCTTCCGAGCGCCACTGCCGCCACCGCAGACGGAAACTCAAAAATGGCGTGCCGAGCAAAAATTAGGCAAATAAACTTGTCAACACATTCAACTTCATTATCGGGCCGCAGCCGCTCCCCGTTGGCCGCCGCCCAAAAACTTACCCGTCTGCAACCTCTTGTGGTTATACTTTTTCCGCCACGACCTCGGGGCTGCGTCCTTGTGCGGCCTGAAAGCAGAGAGAGGAGAGAGAGAGAGAGCAGATGAAATTATGACCTGGCTCAAGCGGCGAGATCCCAAAAAGTGGCAGTCGTCCCCCAGAATATTCATATGTGCGCATGCTTTGGGGCTTAATTTAGAGTGGCCAAGGGTTCAGCTGGTTCAGCTGTGGCCAGAAAGGATTCGCTATCTCGCGCCAGCTTAGCCGTGGGCATAGCACTGAAAGAATTTTGCCCAACAAGCTATTCGTATGCTGCCAGGACTCTCGAGAAAAATTTCAGATAAATCATAAAGTTTTATAGATTTACAAGCAGTTCGACATACAAAGACCAACTTAATCAGGCGAAGCAACAGTGGGCATCAATTTTACAGCCCCCCCCCAAGCGGGGATCCAAACAATTTGCGCAAATATTTTTGTTTGCATATCGAACCCTTCTCTCCACCGACAACGCCATCGCCATCGCCATCGAAAGCTGGGCACAATGAGCTGGGCGAGCAAACAAATTTATGGCCATCATAACGAGAAGGAGAAGCGGCAGAGTCCGGCTCGATAAAATGTCTATAGTGCTACATAATAATCATAATAATAAATAGCAATAAAACTGCTACAAAGGAAATTAAATTTCGGTATCCGCAAGGAATTTCGAAAGAAAAAAAGTGCACACAGGAACAGGAAGCCACCCCGTTTTGCGGCCCCTAAATTTCCCCATAAGCTGTTTAACTGAGTTATTAAAAAGGGCAGGGAGGCCTGCGGGTCAGTCCTTGGCCAGGCCAGCGGCGTTCAACGTTCCGCATCCGCATCCTGCGGACACGACACGGGACTCTGCGGAGCAGGATGGCTATATTAACGTTAATTAATGTTAAGTGCCTAGGCGTTTTACAAAATCATTTAAAATTTTCAGCGCCACCAAAGAGTAAGAAGGAGCAGAGCTAGGGGCTTACTTTTTTCTGGAAATTGTTCTTTAATAAACAAATAAATATAAATGAATAGGAAATCGAAACAGTCATGAACGGAGGCTTTCCTAGAAAGTCCTTCACTTCCAGAACAGACCTTAAAGGTAGAGATATCTTCTGTTAGATCAACTGATAGTTCCAATCTCTCGTAACTTGAATATATATTCCCCAACCAAGCTTAGCTAAACAAAGCTTTACTTTAAATGTAATAATTATTTCCAGTTAAAAAGTAGCCATCTTCCCTCTGGAAAAGGTCAACTGGGGCCTCTTCCGCTTGACCTTACCTCAGGAGCCTGTCAAAACGAACCTTTATGGTTCTCTGGCACCTTTAAGGATCTGACAATGCCCCTGTATATAATGTATAGTATAAAGCGCTTTTGTTCCGCTTGGTGGGCTTGTGGGCGGCGGGGCGTTGCCCTCAAAACTGGGGCGTGGCCATATATGACGTGTGACAAATTTTTGCGGTTGGCAAAGCCAACAAGGGTCCAGCAGAGGTGGTCCGGAGGTGGCAGCAAATGTGTTGCACGTCTCCTTGTCTATGGTTGGAAAATTGTCCAACATATCCGGGAGCGTTGAGGTTGGCTGCCCATTGTGAGCAGGGCGGAGGGCGTGGACATGGGCGAATGAGGCTTTGTCCAGAGAGCGTTTCACATTTCGAGCTGCCCATTTTACTTGCAGTTAAATAGGGCGGAAAAATAATTGAACCATTATCAGGCAGTCAGCCGCCGGGTGAGAGGGTGACGAGGGTGGGTGTACGGGTGTGAGGATGCCAGTACGGGTAGGACACTTAATTCGTATGTATGTATATGTCCGTGTAGCGACCCTCGCTTCCCGTCCAGAATATTCCTATCCTTCTGCTATGCCGCCCTGTGAATAAATTTCGAGCTTGTTTCGCCTTTGGTTTATTGTGCTTATTACAAAATATTTAACGCCACACACACACACACACACAGAGGGCAAGTGCGAGGCGGGGCCACGCCCACGCTGTCACTGGCTCCTTGCACGTCCTTCGCTGGCGGCCAGAAATTGTTGCCTCATTGTAAAAATTTATGTTAATATTTTAAATTTGTACGCTGGCAGGCAGCCGAACGACGAACGGCGAACGGCGAACGGCGAACCGAACTGAACTGTGGGCAGTAACAATATGCCGCTGCGGTTGGGCGCCACTCTGCACCCACTCTGGGACACCCCACCCTGCAGTTGTTTGTTGCCCTGGTTGGCCCGAGACTTCCCCCTCGCCGCTTGTAAAATTTAATGTAATTTCTACGCTGCCGGCTCTAGGCCACGGACGTTGGCCAGGACACCATGGCAGTACGGCAGTACGGCAGTATGGCAGGACATGCCCGTACTGTTGGCCGTACTGTTAATAATGCCAACTTCTGCAGGGCGACGCGTCGCTTAAAGTGCGGCCATATTTTTAAAGAGGCCACAAACTGCAATGACAGTTCACGTTGCCGTTGCTACGGCTGTTGCTGTTACGGCTGCCGGACACGCATGTGTAGTGGACAACGCACACACGGTTTTATAAATATTTCAAGCTCATATTTTATGGGCATTTTTCATAGGAAAAGCTGACGCCGGAGAGCAGCTTGAACGGACAGAAGAGAGAGAGAGGCATTCGGCATCATTAATTAATCTCAAAAAAAAAAAAAAGCGTTGATCCTGATGGAGCGCACGAGTCATAAGACCAGATTGTGGCACCAGGAGAACTAAGAGGATATTTTATAAATATAAATAAAGCCAGCAATGAAGAGTCTCCTATCATTCTTGATATTAAATATGTATATATAAAAAGTTGCCTCACAATTTTTCTTTCTGTGTACTAAAGATTGTATGCAGCAGCATTGTATTTTAAGGACACGTCTACGCTCTGCCACGCCCACATCAGCCTGCCGTCATTTTGCGGCATGTTGCTGCGTTGAGCCTCATTAAGCTCACTTTGTCCTGGCGAACCCTCTGCCCCTGTCGCCTTCCCTGTGTCCATTTAAACAGAAAACCCACCAGGACACCCCCCATATACAGCCACAACACCCGCTGAATCCTTCGCTGATTCATTCCTTCTCGTTTGCCATAAATTATTTTAAAATGCATACTTATGTGGAATTTTGCCACGCGCTGCCGCGACAACTTTCCATAATTTTTATTTACATGATGCGGCGGCGGCGGCAGCGGCTCGGAGCTGTTGGCTTCCTGACGAGGGGTGGTGTGTAACCGCATTAAAATGATTTGCAACGCGCGGTGTCGGAGATGTCTGAGGCCCAGAGCCTTTGCAAATAAAAAAAAAATAAAGCGGACATTGCTGCCAAAGTGGCCAAAGGAATGGCTCTGCTGCACCACTTGCCACATGCATCACTCGCCATGTTGCCTGCTCCGGTTCGTGCTCTGCCTTTTGCTCCTGCTTCCCTGAAGCTGAGATGTCAGTCGGAGGTCAGGCGATCAGGCAGGTTGTGGGTATAAGAGCCTTTAAAGGACACCGAGCAGGACTAAGTTGAATGTCTTCTATAAGTTGTGTTATTTAGTAAAATATTTACTAAGAAGTTCAAGGAAAGAAATAGATTTAAAGTGTCTAAACGATTCTGGAAGGATCTTCTAGGGTTTCCTCTGGTACCATTCCAGCAAAGATCATCGATTATAAAGCTGGCTTCAGACTCTCTCTTAATATTCCATTACAACTTCAGAGAGATGTATTGCTCTCCTTTAAAACTTAAAATGTATAGCGTTACGCATCTTATTGTAAGTTTATCTTTGATTCCAAGTATATTCTGACATTCCTGCATTGACCGCAGTACCCTTCAGACTGAGTCAAAAAAATGAAGTACAGTGCTTCGATTAAGCGAACAAAGTGAAAACTGTCCTAGGGGCTGATCCAGTTTCCTCATAGCTTCAGGCTCACTTGGACAAAAGTGTTTCGAAAACAAAAAGAGTGAAGCTGGAAAAATATTCACACAATCTGCGACACCGAACTTTTGTGAGTGAGTTTGTGTTTTGGCTGGAATTTTGCCGAAGTAAATGTTGTGCATATGGACTGCAGCTTAGTAGCTGCAGTCCCCTCGTGCAGCTGGAGTGGAGTGTATTCGAAATAATCCTCTTTTGTACCCACACATCACTTCCCTTCTGTTCCCTTCCTCTGGGCTGCTAGTCAATCTAATTATTATCAACTCTGTGGCTCCACATTCCAGATTCCAGATTCCCTGACCATATGGTGCTCCTTCAGGGCTATAAATACACCATTGAACATATGTTTTGGCTTAAAAACCGGTTTTCCTTAAGCCTTGTTGGACCAGCATGTGTAATTGCAGGGACTCTCTGCCATGGAATTACCTTAATTTTATTAAATATTTATTTTTAGCCCAGCCAGCAGCCTTTCCCCCCTGACTTTACCGCTGACAAAAGTGGAAATGATGAACTGATAAAATATTCAGATTTGATGACAGGCCCCCCGCCCTCAGACTCGACCACTCAATCAACGATATCGATCGATTTGCAATCTCAGTCCGAGAGGAAATTGTTGTGAAGTTTATTTATTTATTTTATGAAAACTGTTACATTCCATTCTCTCTCTCTATCTTTGCATATTTTTTGTGCCGCTTTCAAGTTGAGTTGAGTATATATATTCTGCACACAGGCCACTAAGAATATAGCAAGCACTGAGGCTCATAACTCGAGCATTTAATTACTTAAGTAATCCGTCGTTGGAGATGGATTTTTGAGTATGTGGCTACAGCAGATGGAATACAAATCGAAGAGAGAAAAGGCTTGTAGAGCCATCAGGCTTGGGATTTACTCTAGAATATCCTTGAAACCAAGTTGCTTTAACTTTCTATATCAAAAATCAATAATATCCAAATGAAGGAAGAAAGGGGTCAACAAGACAGTGAATAAAGGGGAAAACCCCATTTATGAAAGCTGGAGAAACTACCTCCTGTCGCATCCTGTAACCCGAACCCCCTTTGGAGACTGGGAACCTTTTGTGGTTTCGATTTCAGTTTAAATTTTCCGCCTAAAATCCCAGATGGAGGTCCAGAGCAGGTCCAGATTTGTGCCTGTCACAACGGC